TGGATGCTGACTTTTTTTGTTTGTGTTGTTTTTCCTGTTCATATTTCCTTTTGGTTCTCTACCTTATGTCTACATTCCATTATGTGATCAAGATGACACTTTGATTTGTTACCACTGTATTAGTAGTAGTTAAAAATATGATAATATGAGATGTTTAAGAAGTTATTGTCCAATATTTGTCTGAAATTTACGACTGTTTAATTATTGTTTCAGTTCTTTTCTATGAAGATTCATGGTAGATATAATTGTTTTAACAATTATTTTCTACCTGGTTCTTGTTTGCCAAGTTAATAAGCATGTGAGAAACAACATGATGAGCTTTATTGATATATCATACTTTTTCTCTGGACAATGGTTTCGTAGTTACAACTTGTCTAATATTTTGTAATTACTTTGCTCTAGCTGAAATGTGAATGTATCTGTAATCTCAATTATTTGATGTTAGGCAATTTCTCTGTTGAAGAGATGATCAAATACTAACGGGGAATTCATTTTTTTTAGCCAGTGTTTAGTACCCAAAAATTGTACAAAACTAACACACTGAACCTTAGGTAGTGTTGGTGCTGTTTCCCAATTAAATTTTATCTCACTAACTACTGCCAATTTTACTTACCAAGATAAAAACAATACTTAGCAAGATAAAAACAATGGTTACCCAAATGAGGTGTTAATTTTGATTGGAGAACTATATCTAAGTTATGTTCTTAAAATTTTTCCCTACTTCTACTGAGCACAGACTGCTGTCTGCATGATAGGCTACTGTGTCTCACAAAATTAACCGAGTTATCTTTCTTGTACCTTAGGATGGACCCCAAGCAGGACAGACGGTACCTCATGTTCACATTCATGTTCTTCCTCGGAAAAGTGGTGATTTTGAGAAGAATGATGAGATATATGATGCAGTAAGATGAAGTTTTTCTCATGGCTGTGCTGTTGATATTAATATTGTTTCATTTGAATTTGATATTAACATGCAGTCTTTATCTTCTGTTTGTCATTGGTTCAGATTGATGAGAAGGAGAAGGAATTGAAACAAAAGCTTGACTTGGACAAGGAGAGGAAAGACAGAAGCCTTGAAGAGATGAGTCAAGAGGCTGATGAATACAAAAAACTTCTCTTGTAACATTTTTGCTAGGAGTAAAAAGTGAATTCTGTCTGCATCATGACCAGATTTTTTGAGTGTAGACAATTTTAATGCGCTTCCTTGTAGCCACAGAAAAAGTTTATTCCGCTAATTTAGATTTTAGAACTTTTGAGTTGCACTTGACCATACAAGTCACAAATTCTAGTCTTCAGGGGAACTGCTTATTATTTTTGGTTACATGTAGCATTGTACTGAAGTTTCAAGGAACAATGAAAATTTGGTTGAACTCAAAGTAACAGCACTTGGGTCTCTTTTTTTACTTTAGCCTCAGCTTTTCTCGTTATTGCTTTACTCGTTTCCTGGTATTGGATAAAAGTTTAAGGGAAAGGAGAAGATTACTTGCTCTCTCTCAAGGGAAACAAGCATAACTTTAAGTTGAACCTTTCTATAAGTTATACTACTGGAACCATTAACTATTATATATAACAAAAACGTCAAATACCATGTAATTAGAAAAAATAAATGTCAATAATAATCAAACTTTTCATAATTATATTTTTTTCCTTCTACATTCCTGATCAACTTTTTTCTGCACATAGCAAAGAAATGCTTCCTCATTCTGTGTACAAATCATTTAATTAACCTACTTCTTTCTCAACCACTTTGTCCAGTTATAGATAATTCTAGTCTCGTTTGAGTTTTGAGACTATTTTATAATTTATGGTCAACAGTCAACATCTATGAGTATTGAAGCTAAACCAGTTGCTTAGAACCAATTTATATACCGATTTAAATTCGAATTAATTTTAGTTGTAAAACTAATTTCAAACCTACGTTTAATCCTTCAATTTGCAACACATAGTTACATAAATGTTTACCCGAGTGTTCTTACTGTAAATGACTAAATAAAATGTCAAGTGGCTTCTTTTCAAAAAGAGTAAGGTTTCTCTATTTAACTATTTTATTGCGAGACTAGCTGTCATACAGTTAACAATCATTAAATGTTGACTTAATCAACTACTCATATAGTTAATCATAAATCATTCACACATTTTTATATATTTTTGCAAAGATTAGAGGAGTAAGTAACAACAAACTTAAAAATAAAAAATAAAAAATAACGGAGAAAATAAGCACATAGATTTTCTACACTTATAAATTCAAAGCAAAATGCAAATTGTATGGAATCTGCTACCTTCTATTGCTCCTAGTTACTGCATATTTCTAATACATTCATCAAGTGCATCATTTTCTCCCTCAGTCCCTTGCCCACTCCATTAAGGTAAATATACAAATACAACTACTCAAAATCATCAAAAATATTATCCGTGTTATTTTCTTTATGCATATTGAGAATAACGATTTTGTTAGATGGCTGTTGAATACTATGATTTTGGGCCTCACAAGATCCACCATAGTTCAGTGTTCCATACAACTGATATTTCTTTTGCCTTTGTAAACCTGCGTCCTGCTGTGCAAGGTATTCTGCTCCCTTATCTCTATGCATCACTTCTCATATGATCATGTTTTATTCAATATTCAAAGTGGCATAATCTTTTTTTTCTCCCTTTCCATTTTCTTCTCGAGATAAATTCAGTTACTGTTGTGAAACTAACAAAAGAAGGTTTTGAATCAATTGTGTGTGATAGAACACCTATTGATAAAAAGTAATAAAAGATAATATTATACACTGAAATCACAAAGTATTCTGTACTCGCAAACTGAAAATAACTTCACACACCTCTAATTTACACATCCTATTATCAGATATATATTTCTAATACATAACTACCAACAGTTATTTTCTACAAATAATTGTCATCGGGCAGTTTCTGATACAAAACTAACTACTAACAGTGATTTTTTACACATAACTGTCATCTTGGAGTTTCTAATATGGAACTGATTTCTAAAGTAGTTACTTTCTACACATAATTGCCCCCAACTCTCAGTTCCTATCGGTATGCATATACTGGGAAGAAATGTTAGGCTGTTTAGTTATTTTTTTTTACCCATAAGAATTACAAAGGTTTGAACCTAGAACTATGTGCATACTATCCCAATCCCCCACTACTGGGTCAACCCTAGTGGTTCAGGCTTGTTTAGTTTGAGACAATGTTTTTACTAGCTTTCAACTCATTTCCTCTTTTTGCAAATAATTATAAAACTTCAACTTTACTTTCATTTTGTTTCTTGTTTTTTATGGTTATTATAAGAGACAATGAAAACAGTGAATCTTTAAAAACCATGAAATAAAGTAAAAATGATGTGGCAATTGTGTAATCATCTTTACAAGCAAGAAAAGACGATATCTCCAATCCGACACTAAGTTAGATATGCAACAAGAAGCAATGAGCAAAAACTAACATACAGAGTTATGAAAAAGAATATCAAGTCAGCCCTGCATAAATTTGAGATAAAACTAATGATTCAAAAGTTATGTAAAAATTCTCTATGTAGTATTACATTTTGAATCATTTCTACTTACAAAAATGTAATTTGCTAATTGACTTCTGTTTTCCATTTGCAGGTCATATCCTTTTTAATATCATCTTAAGAATACATGCTGTGTTCAATAATCCATTTTCATAATTGGGTAAAATTCAAATCGAGGCATTGCTAAAACAGCTAAAAAAAAGGCATTGCATATGTAGGATCATCTTCATGAGTCTACATATCAGCATATGTAGCTTCATTTTATAATTACAATGGTTACTATCGACAAATTTAAAGATCCTTGTGATATGTTAATTACTGATATAGCACCAATATTTGATATAAGTGAAAATGTAGTTGTAAAACTAACTTTTTTGATTAGAGAATCAATATGACATGGCCTTCATATATCCACAGTTGCTTGCTTAAGAGTCTTAATAATTAGGCTCATAGTTGCTTTCTTAAGAGTTTTAAGAATTAGGCTCAATTATTTTTGCATAGCTAGCCATTTGAAGCTGAACTTGGTTAACTTAAGAGTATCTACATGTGCTTGTCTGTCCAAAACGCAAAGTCAAGCGCGTTGCTGATCTAACTGATGTTGAGACTATAGATTTATGGCGCATAGCTAAGAAACTTGGTAGACAGCTAGAGAGCTTCCATAAGGCATCATCACTTACATTTTGTATCCAAGTAAGACAATTGAAGAAGACTTTAACAATGTGTCTTTTTGGTTTCTACCAAGTATTATTCTTTTAATGTAATTGTTTAAGACTAAACATACACCACCTGCATGATATGCTTCTATAACTCCTAACCAAATCATCTTTAATAAACATAGGATGGACCTCAAGCAGGGCAAACAGTGCCTCATGTTCATATCCATATCCTTCCCCGGAAAAGTGGTGATTATGAAAACAATGATGACATTTATGATGATGTAAGACGGGAAGATTTTATTTTACTTTTTCAAACAATTGGTTTGTTTTATGCAGCTAGATTCAATTTGTAACTTTGTTATGGTATTTGTTCTTTATTGGATGGTGCAGATAAATGAAAAGGAGAAGGAGTTGCATCAAGCACTTGCAGTGGATAATGAAAGGAAAGACAGGAGCATTGAAGTAATGGCTATTGAGGCTGATGAATACAGAAAATTTCTCTTCTGACATTTTTAAGTGGCACTGGAAATAAAATAGGAAGATTATCATAAGAAAATGTAGAAAATAATAAGGGAACAGAATTTGATGATTTTGTGTTTCATAACAAGCATTTATATTGTATCTTGTGTCAGATTCAGGAGTTCTCAAGAAAATACTGTCTGGTTGAAGTTTCCCCTTTATATGATAAGAATATTTATTTATCATAAATTTTAATTATAATATGTTTTTTACTTATATAATTTTTATTATATAAAATAAAAATTAGACTAAAATACTGATTATGCACTGAGTATAATTTTTTTTTATAGTATTAGCGAGTTATAAATCATTCTTATCATAAGTTTTAATATAATTATGGTAGTCTGTATGAATTTGGGATTACTTCTCAAGATATATACACACACTTTAAATAGTTGTTCAAGTAGTTTGAAAATGCAAAGCAAGACTTCTGTGGACACAACCTCAAATATGAGGTGTTGGAAACATCCAATGAAATATTGTCACTTCATTAAAAATGTTACAAAATATTAAAATAACATTAAAGTAAAGAGAGAGAGAGAGAGAGAGAAGAATACAAGTTAATTAACTGTTTGGATAATTGAAGGTTGAAACGGTTAGATTTCTTCTTAAAATCAATTGGCATCAAATGCAGTTACCCAACAAATATATAAGCTGCACTCCAAGAATTGAGGCAAATGTGAGATTATAAACTATCATACCATGTTAAATTTCATCTTAAAATCAATTGACATTAAATGAAGTTACTCAACACATATATAAGTTGCACCCCAAGAATTGAGACCCAAGAGAAACTAGTGAATGCTGACATGGAACAACCCCTCATAGTGCAACCTTTGGAGTCGACTACTAACACGCTCAACAATGGCCCTTGTTACTACTTACTACTGTCAGAATTTTCCTGGTTTAGTTTTATGGGAAGATTGAAACAACCTAATCTGTCCCCACTCCCCAGATTAAGAGTCAGCATCAAATCGCAATACAGGGCCGGGCCAAAATGTCTTCAAAAAGAGTAAGGTCTCTCTATTTAACTATTTTATTGCGAGGCTAGCTGTCATATATTTAACAATCATTGAATGTTGACTTAATCAACTACTCTTATAATTAATGATAAATCATTCACATTTTAAACATTTTTGCGAAGACTAGAGGAGTAAGTAAGAATAAATTTAAAAAAATGACGGAGAAAACAAGCTCAAAGATTTTCTACACTTATAAAGTTCAAAGCAAAATGCAAATTGTATAGAATCTGCTACCTTCTGTTGCTCATAGACAACTTACTAAAATCATCAAAAATATTATCCTTGTTATTTTCTTTATGCATATTGAGAATGAAGATTTTGTTAGATGGCTGTTGAATACTATGATTTTGGGCCTCACAAGATACACAATAGTTCAGTGTTCCACACAACTAATCTTTCTTTTGCCTTTGTCAACCTGCGTCCTGCTGTGCCAGGTATGCTGCTCCTTTATCTCTTAGGTTTTCACTTCTCTTGCGATCATACTTTATTATCTTCAATATTCGAAGTGGCATAATTTTTTGTCTTTTCCATTTTCTTTTTTAGATTTTAACAATTTGTTGGCACTGTTGTGAACCTAACAAAAGAAGGTTTTGACTCAATTTAGTGCATGTGATATAACACCTAATGAAAAAGTAATAAAAGATAATATTAAACACTGAAATCACACATAGTACAGCAAAATACTTATTGTCCCAAAGACAAAAGTCTAAATCTCCCTAATTACACCTAACTATCAGATATATATTCCTAATACATAATTACCAAAAGTTATTTTCTACACATAACTGTCTTCTTGGAGTTTCTAATACAGAACTGATTTCTAAAGCAGTTGTTTTCTACACATAATTCCCCTAACCCTCAGTTCCTATCAGTATACATATATAGGGTTAGGCTTGTTTAGTTTGAGACAATGTTTTTATTAGCTTTCATTTCTTCTTTCACAAATAATTATAAAATTTCAACTTTATTTTCATTTATTTTCATGTTTTATATGATTATTAAAAGAAACAATGAAAACAGTAAATCTTTAAAAACCATGAAATAAAGTAAAAATGAAGTGGCAATTATGTAACCATTTTTACAAACAATAAAAGACAATTTCTCCAATCCAACAGGAAGTTAGATATGCAACAAAAAACAAAGAGCAACAACTAATATAGAGTTATGAAAAAATGTATCAAATCAGCCCTGCATTAATTTGAGATAAAACTAATGATTAAAAAATTATGTAAAAATTCTCTATATGTAGCAATACTTTTGAGTCATTTCTACTTTGAAAAATGTTACTTGCTAATTGACTTCTCTTTTCTATTTGCAGGTCATAACCTTTTTAATATCATATTAAGAATACTTGCTGTGTTCGATAATCCATTCTCATAATTGGGTAAAATTCAAGTCGAGGCATTGCTAAACCTCCTAAAAACAGGCACTGCATATGTAGGATCATCTTCATGAGTCTACATATCAGCATATGTAACACCATTATATAATTATAATGGATACTACTGACAAATTTTAATATCCTTGTGATATGTTAATTACAGATATAGCAACATTCGATATAAGTGAAAATGCAGTTGTTAAACTAGTTTCATTAGAGAATCAATATGACATGGCCTTCATATATCCACAGACCACATTATTCATATGAAGAGGGCAAAAGAACTGCCACACTTGATTTAATGTTGGTGTCACACAGTTGCTTGCTTAAGATTCTTAAGAATTACGCTCAATTATTTTTGCATAGCTAGCCATTTGAAGCTGAAGTTGGTTAACTTAGTGCGTGTTTGGTAATACGTTTGGGATCCACGTTTTCCCTTATTTTGTAGTTATAACGCAGCAAAAGCAACTAATAGTTGCTTCTCAAAATCACGTCCAAGTTTTCAAACGTAAAAGCAAACAGGCTATTAACAGTATCTACATGTGCTTGTCTGTCCAAAACGCGAAGTCAAGCGCGTTGCTGATCTCACTGATGATGAGACTATAGATTTATGGAGCATAGCTAAGAAACTTGGTAGACAGCTAGAGAGCTTCCATAAAGCATCATCACTTAGATTTGGTATCCAAGTAAGACAATTAAAGAAGACTTTAACCATTTGTTTCTTAGTTTCTATCAAGTATTATTCTGTAGTCAATTAGTCACATGCCTTTAATGTAATTTCTAAGGCTAAACAGACACCAACTGCACGCTATGCTTCTATAATTTTGAACCTAACCAAATCATCTTTATGAACCATAGGATGGACCTCAAGCAGGGCAAACAGTGCCTCATGTTCATATCCATATCCTTCCCTGTAAAAGTGGTGATGATGAGAACAATGATCACATTTATGATGACGTAAGATGCGAAGGTTTTATTTTACTTTTTTAAATAATTGATCTGCTTTATGCATCTAGATTAAAAGTGTGACTTTGTTATGGTATTTGTTATTGGGTGATGCAGATAAATGAAAAGGAGAAGGAGTTGCATGGATCACTTGCGATAGATAAAGAAAGGAAAGACAGGAGCATTGAAGAAATGGCTATTGAGGCTGATGAATATAGAAAATTTGTCTTTTGACATTTTTAAGTGGCACTAGAAATAAAATAGGAAGATTACCAAAAAGAAAATCTAGATAAAAATCTAGATAAAGCTAAGAAAAAAAATTAATTCTCTTAAACAAGTTGACTTGCAAGATTCACAGATTAAGTTCACAAAATCTACAGACTTTGCAAATCGAGCTTGATTTCTTTGATAATGATACAAATTTTTAAAATATAGACTCGTTAACTATGTGGGTTATGAGTTTCACGGCCCGACCTACAGACTTGAACCCATATACCCACCCTAGTATTGAACCTTATGCATGTTGTTTGATAATTTGATGCAAGTAATTTGGAAACTAGTATAGTCACATATTCTCTATTGTGTGACAGTTTCAAGCTTAAGGCACCAGAATTTTTGTGTATCTTGTGTTAGCCCAGGCATTTCCCTACTAGGGATGAAATAAAAAATAAATAAAAAAGGAATATAGAGGAGCCAAAAACAAATAGTAATCATGCTTTCAGTTGAGAAACATGGCAGAGTTCAAACTATAGAGGAAGCTATGGAGATTTAAGAGACTTCAGAACTTGCACTAATAATTGGAACGAGAAGTTACAAATGAGCTACTCTTTGATTTATATATAAATGGAGGAAAGACTGACTAACTAATCTAACCATCAATTGTACACCAAAAAAAATTTAACTCAATCATCTTAAGAAAAATAGAAATTTTTTTTCTTTCTCATTTTGTGTTCTCATCTCTTTGAGCTTACTTTAATCTCTTTCTCAATCATTCTTCCTGTTGAACATCAACACAAGTAAGAAAAATATAATTTGATTTTTGAAATATTTGTTTTATATTACTCTGGTTCTAAAAATATTTCACATACAATTTGATTCTCAAAATTATTAATTTACTAGCAAGTTCATTTCTTCATGGATAATTTGCATTAAGAAAAATTATTACAAACTAAATCAATGGAAACAACATTTTCTTGTAAGGAGAAAATGATATATTTATTTTAGAAAATGAACCGGTTATATTGTAGAAATTTTCAAAAAAAAAAAAAAAAAGAGAACTAATAAAATGAGTTATATCTACCAAAAATAAAGTTGTAGCAGATGTTCCACGTTTTATCAATAAATACCTATTTTTAATTGAGTTTATTTTTCATGCATGTATAAAGATTTTTCCGCAACCAATCAAATAAAAATTAATTAAATTAATATAACTTTTATCAATTATCACAAAGTTAAATAAGTTTATACTAAATGATTATTTTTCAAAAAATCACCATTAGATTAAAAGTTACTTATTCCTATATTATATAAATAAATTTTTTTATTAATTTAATATCTCATTTATATAAATAAAAAATGATATAGTATATACATTTTAAAATATACTAAAATTAAATAATTTGATTATTTTTTAATTATTATTCAATTTTAATAAATTTTAATATAAACATAATATAAAGTTATAATTTAATAATTGAATACGTTTAATATAAAATTATTAAATAATGTAATAATTAATTAAAAAAATATATTGATCGCTCCCATTTTTAATGATATATTTGGCATTCTTTTATCCATGTCATAGTAAATTTAACTTTTAGGTCACTGTAATTTTTCAGCACAATTCACCAAACATACCAAATCAATTATTACAAAATTCAATAATTTTATCATATTTTTGTTATTTGTCATAATCTCTATTTCACTATATCATATATTAATTTCGTTCATAATATTATAATTATTATTGATTTAAAGGTTTTTTTTGTAAAAATATTTACACAACAAATGCATCTTAAATTTTTTTTATATCAAATTATGCATCTAATTACCACTTAATGCATGAATTTAACTAGTCAAGACTTATAATTATTTTAACTTAATCAATAATATCAAATTTAAGTGTTTACACATTAAGGTAAAGTTGAAGAAGAGCTTCGCGACCTATAATAATTTGGTTCATGATATATATACCTCCTTTTTTTTATAAGTACAATGTACACCTCTTTTTAAAAAAATAATTAAATTTCTAAAATATTATTAATTTTTAATTTTTAATTTTACATCTACAACATTTAATTTAATACTTTTTTTCACTCTTCTTTTCTCATTTTTTTTAATTTTTACATGTACCTCTTTACTTTTCTCACCCCACTTATTTTGATAGCATGTGAAAATTGAAAGAGAGAAAAAAATGTGTGTGAAATAGAAGAAGAAAATAGCAAATTGAAAGTTGAAGATATAAAATTAGGATTTTTTTTAAAAAAAACTATAATATTTTATAATTTTTTTAAAAAAAATAAAGAGGTGTACTTATATAAAAAGGAAGTGTATATATCATGAGCCTAATAATTTTTCTCAACTCAAGCCCTACTGCCTCTTGAGGATACATGTGGCTTCAAGCCCAGCCCTTGTGAAGCTCAGGCCCATAGTGAGGCCCAGAACTCTGTGTTTCCGGTCGAATTGGCGGGAGTAGAGTATCAGCGTACTCCCCTACCCATTGCAGTACTTTAGTGGCTTTGAACGTTGTGACCTTACGCTTCTCTTCCTCCTCTCGCCACCATGCACTCTATTTCCTCCGTTCTCAAGGTAACCCTAATCAATCTCTTTTGCCTATCAACTTCGTTTTTCTCTTTCATAAAAAAATGAAGAAGATAATTGGTTGCGCAATGCTGTTAACTCCGGTTTCGTAGCTTCCTTTTATTTGTTGTAAGAAAACTTCAATACCCACGTTCCAGTTTTCAATTTCGTTGGTGGGGTTGAAAAAAGTTTTGTTTTTGTTGCTTCCTCAGTAGAAAAAAAAATGGAATGTGCAATGGAAAAAGTTGTTGAGTTGCCCCATCAATATTGTGAATGATTTGTTAGCGGTTTTGAGTGTTATGATTGTTGGATGCTGATGTGTTTGTTGCTGTTATACAGAAATACTTTGGGTTTTCGGATTTTCGGCCTTATCAGAGGGAAGTTATTGAGAAAATTATTGAGAAAAGGGATTGTTTGGTGGTCATGGCTACTGGTAGTGGGAAGTCCTTGTGGTAAAAAGCGTCATTGTCCCTTTTTACTTTTTCTCACTATCTTCTTCTTCTTTTTTTTTTTTTTTTTTTTTTTCCTCTT